TTGTAGGTGGTTTACACCTGTAGGAAACAGTATGACTGTCAGTATTGTATTTTTGATATATTAAGTGGGATTAGTTATTTACATGTTTAAAGTTCATAATTCTTGATGGTGAAGTGCTTGTATCTTCTTTCTTTATTCTCTCTGTTGATATTGTTCAATGATTGGGTTTGGATCTTGCGTGATAGCATTTATTTCTTGCAGATTGGTCAAGGAACTTATAGTAGTGTATACAAGGCTCGTGACCTGACACGTAATAAACTGGTTGCCCTTAAGAGAGTTCGGTTTGACAATATGGACACCGAAAGTGTGAAATTTATGGCCAGAGAGATCCTCATTTTGCGAAGGCTTGATCATCCAAATGTAATTAAGCTGGAAGGCTTGGTTGCCTCAAGGACATCTTCTAGTTTATATCTTGTTTTCGAGTACATGGAGCACGATCTAACTGGTCTGGCATCACTTCCTGGTGTTCGGTTTAGTGAACCACAGGTATTTGAACTTTTGTTTTCATGTAATTTAGATGGATTGATTTTTCATTTTGGGTTGAATTGTAAAGGCACCCATCACAGCTCATTGAAGTCTTGGTTTCATTTCATTTATTTGTTCATTCACATAGTGCAATGTTGGCCATGCTGTCAGCCAGTTGTGACTTCCTTAAGCCTTCTTCTTTCAGTCGGATGACATTAACTAACGCCTCCACATTATCTAGGTCAAATGTTACATGCAGCAGCTGCTAAGTGGACTTGATCATTGCCATACTCATAGTGTTCTTCATCGAGATATAAAGGGTTCAAATCTTCTACTTGACAACCATGGCTGCTTGAAGATTGCAGATTTTGGCTTGGCCACCTCTTATGATCGTAATAAAAAAATTCCATTGACAAGTCGTGTTGTGACTCTGTGGTACCGACCACCAGAACTATTACTTGGAGCAAGTCATTATGGAGCTGCAGTGGATCTATGGAGTGCTGGTTGCATTCTTGGAGAACTCTATGCTGGCAAGCCTATTATGCCTGGTAGAACAGAGGTATAGTAAGCACAAACTTCTCCCTCTTATCATAATGGGTTATCACGCTATTGCTTGTTCTTCCTAACTTCTGGTACTTATTTTTGGCTTAAATGTTGCGTGATGCATTCATGTATTTGGTTTATAGGTTGAACAACTTCATAAAATTTTTAAAGTTTGTGGCTCACCATCAGAAGAGTATTGGAGGAAAGCAAAATTACCGCATTCAACGGTATTTAGGCCTCAGCAAACTTATAAGCGGCGTCTTACAGAAACATTTAAGGATTTTCCTCCTGCAGCTATGGGGCTAATGGAGACTTTACTTTCCATAGATCCTGCAGAACGAGGAAGTGCAGCTGTTGCCCTCAAGAGTGAGGTATTCAATCCCTCGCCTGTGTACATACATATACAAGAAGGGGAACTATCATTATTTGCTGAAGCTCGTTTCAGATAATTATTTAGTTCCCTTCCCTTCTAAGAAAACTCTCCTCACGTTATAAAGGAGCTTTTTTTGTTTAATTTTGCAAGTTTCAGAAAGAAAGAGTTAATTTGGTGGTACTAAGTAGGTATCCTACTGTCTGATGATGCATATTATGGTGCCATAAGACTAATATTTCATTGATAACACCTTTTTGAGCTTTTTTAACTTCTATCTCAATTTCCAAACTTTTCACAATCTAGAATTGCTAGCATGACTGATGGTTTGCATCTCTACTAGTTCTTCAAGACGGAGCCATTTGCATGTGATCCTTCAACTTTGCCCAAGTACCCACCCAGTAAGGAGATTGATGCAAAATTACGGGAAGAGGAAGCTAAAAGGTATAGACTTATAAGCTATTCATCTTCCAGGTGGAAATTAGCTTTAAGATTCATTGACTTACTCTTTAGGCAAGCATTTTTGGGGTAGCATTATTTAAATTTTGGGGGATGTTGTCTTCTCATGTTAAATATTTCTACAATAATTACAAAAAGTTAACATTTTCATGATATCCAAGTGTCATTTTCTGGCTGTCTTAGTGTTTACTGTCTGAAGTTCTCAGTTAGCTGCATTATTTGTTTTCAAGCTTCTGTACCTACCTTTCTTTTTGTGGAAATAAGTCTATTGTTAACATGCATACCTGTTTGAGATTATGCTCATATTGTTTATTGCAATATGCCTTGCAGACAAGGTGCTCAGGGAGTTAAGGGATCTAAAGATTTGCGAGCTGTTCCAGTACCTGATGCTAATGCTGAATTAGTTTCATCAATGAAGGTGATTGGATGATGTTCTAATTTATATATAGTTGGATAGAATTTTCTTTTTCTATAGAGTGATACCATTACGTATTGGTGAAAATATGGTTGTGACGTCTCTTCCATATGGGACAACATTACATATATCGTGTTTTGAAGTTTCCTTAGAATGACACAATAAATTAGTAAGATAAAAATATTTTGTAGTTACTTAATCATGTAGTTGGGAGGCTTCCATTTTTCTCCATTGTTACAGCTTATCTTCAATTCCATTTCCCAAAGCAAGATATCCTAGATTGGAGATTTCAGTCAAACAGCCAGGTCTATGCTATGGCACAATTTTCTGTACCTGAATCTCCAAGTGCTTTATGCTTAAATAAAGGAAACAGAACTCAAAAATCTGTATCATGTTCTAAATGAATGGGTTTACATTGTCTTTTACATAGTTAAGTCAGAAATTGGATGTCAGAAATGCATTTAGCTCTCCTCTTTTTCTATAGATAAAATGCTGCATCTTTGAAAACCTTCAGATATTCTGAGAGTTGGGCCATCTTGTAGAACTTTCTGCTTGATTGGGAAAATGTCGTAAAGTTAGAAAAATTTTTTTTTTTGGGTGTAGTAAAGAAAGACAAAGGAATTAGTTTTGCTTCTGAGAAAATGACTTATTGTATGTTGATAAGACTAATCATTATGGTTGTACTGATTTATAATCTTTTCCCTCACATACAATAACACACATAAGAAGGATAGGTAGTTAAATTGGTTAATATTTTGCCACTGTACTAACGTATTGGTTGACTATCTTTCTTAGTCATAACTCTAAACGCGGAGATAAAATCCTTTCCTGTCATACAGAAATGGGCCACTTATCTGCTTATTTCAGCTTTAGTGTTCCTCTCAAAGAAGATTATGACGAGGGTGCTGTTTTTGCACTTATACTATAGTTTTGCTTGTTTCCTGTTTTTTGTCGTTTAGACTGATGTTCGAATTTGGATATTGGGAGAAGGTCTTCTAATTTACCGGGACTAAATATGTATACTTGAGATGAAAAAGATGAAGTAAAAATTGGTTTTGGTTTTTGAATTCTGCTAAAGGACTAAGAACTAAGTAAATGTGAGAATACATAGTGTAATCTTTGAAAGTTCAATTTTACTGTTAATCTACTGTGTATTTTAGACGCGAAAGAAGTGAGAATGCTAATGATTCTAGTTAGTAGTTAGTTAAGTTGTCCTCAACAATTTTTTCTTACAACTGTTCATCTTCTGTTTAGAGAAATGCCCATTCAAAGAATCGCAGTGAGCAGTTCAACCCCATAAAGAAGAAACTTCCCGTGGTTTTCCTGCTGGTCCACCTAGACTATCAAAGGGCGTTATAGAGACAAGGAAAGCAACCTTGGAACATCCACCACAGAGAATCTCTTATTCTGGTCCTCTTGGTCCTGCATCTGGATGGGCAATGTCTGGAAAGAAATATGATGATATTTCATTTGTTTCAAATAAAGCTGATTTGTCGACTTTGTCTGGATTAGTTGCATCTCGGACTTTGCCATCTGAAGATTCACGGGAAAAGTATGGCTCCCAGCAGGTAGAGATAGCAAATCAAGTAAAAGAATCTTTGAATTTATCTGGGGAACCTATGAAAAAGCATGATCAGAAAGTCGCATGGAGAATTTAGCTAGTTCTCATCATCTAGAAACTGGAAGAGCCACAAAAGGACCAGTGCTGGTAAGTTTCATATTGACTTTAAGCCTGTGGGAGTGCTGTGAAATGGTTACTTTTTTATCTTTGATTCCTTTTAAGGTCCAATAATACATTGAATTGATTATGTGAACTCTTCATACTTTATTGCAGTTTGTTTTGAGTTATGCTCTAGTGATAGGATTGATTTTGTTTGACCAAGAACTGGTGTTTTTATAACTTCATTTTTTTTAAACTTTTCACTGCTTACAATAATTAAAGTTTGTCAGTGTCACAATGTTTTCTGGACGGATGTCTACATCTGATCCCAGCATGGTTACTTTTTGTTGGCGAACGAACATTCTATCTTTCCATTCAAGACCTGTATTAGAACACAAACCAAATATGTTCCCGGTATCAGTCTAACTTGGTTCCGTCTTCTCTTTTTTGTTTATCCATGTCTGCTTTAGCAGGGTCATCCTAGCAAGGCAACCAAGATCCATTTCTCTGGTCCATTGGGCGTCCCTCCAAATAAAGTGGATCAGATGCTAAAGGAGCACGATCGGCAGCTCCAAGAAGCTGTTCGACGGACTAGGATTGAGAGGACAAGAGTAGGTAAAGTAGAGGGCCAAGAGATGCAAATGACAGCAAATCCCGTCTATGCATCCACTCAAGGCGTGAGGTAGATCAGCTTTTACACAACATATAGAGAGAGAGAGAGAGGAGTTCCCGGTGTAAAAATTATTAGTTCTTGTATAGCTGTGAAATGATTTTGCTTGATTTCCTTCTAGTTCAGTTATTCCTTGCATAAATTGCATCATAACGAAGAAAATGTAAAGTAGCATCAAAATTTTGAGTTTGCTGCAGAATATGGCTTTTAATTTGGTTTGTGTTGGACTGATGCTCCAATATATCAGGCTACGACAGACTCATAGCCAAGGTAGAGACCATTTTTCGCCCGCAGCTGTCATATCATGTTTCAGGTATATCTAATTCATGGAGTTTCACCCATTTTATATGCTACAAAATCTTGTACATCTTTACTGTATGTAAACAAAAAAAAAAATCCGAGGCTGAAATGGCCATTTAGATGTATCTGTTCGTTCTAGGACCAGAGAGGGTACACTCAACTTTGAGTTATAGATTTGATATTTCTGGGCTGAGATACGAGCAGCTTTGGACTATAAAACTGCAGCACATGGAACCGGTTCAGATTCGAGGACCTTCTTTGCTGCTTCTTTGATCACTTGTCCGCTAACATAATGTTTTCGACAAACGGGCATATATACTTCAGCGCCAGCAATTAGTTCTGTTTCAGTCTCCTCTGTCTTTCTCAATGTAAAGAAAGCACGTTTACCACAGAGCTCACACCGAGCAGTTAACTTGGTTACAGAGTCAGCAAGGGGTATAACTTCAAGAACGGACCCAAAACTTCTCCTAAAATCATGAGGAGGAAGGTCAGCAAAACATGAAACTTTCCCAGAATCAGAGAAATACAAACTTGAGTTGGTTCAATTTTTTGCCTCACAATTTTATAATGTTCAGAAAAAACATAGACAGAAACAGTACTACCTTAAATAGTCCCCATCCAGCCCAGCAACTATTACAGTCTTGCCATCATGGTCAGCAGCTTCCGACAGAAATCATGAAGGTCTTCGAAAAACTGTGCTTCGTCTATACCAATTACTTCTAGCTGTATTCATGTTAAAAGTTGCTATGAGGATACCCTTATGATGGATATGAGAAAATCATGAAAACTTGTATGCTCCTTTCGAAATATCTTAGTGCATATAAAAAAGAAAGGCCATGCTATTGACGCTGCATTGTTTCTTTACTACACGGTTAATTTCAACAGGCCATACCTTATCATATGCCTCAGGACCAAGTTTCTGTCTGAATGATGAAAGATCCGCCATTGGCCAGCATGGTAATTTTTCTCCATCATGCGTCACAATTGAATCCAATGCATATCTAGTATCCTTGTTTGATTTTATTACTGCAACACTTCTGTATTACGGCGTTAAGTAGAAAATCAATGTATAAAGAAGTCATGTTTACATCCACAAAAATGCCACATTCCGTTCAGACTGTACAATTTCAAACAGGAAGACAGGTATATCATATTTTCGCTAAACCAGCGTCAAGTAATCAAGTTCCAACAAAAGATGTGCACGAAGAGAACAGGAAGATTTTGGGAGATATAATTCACCATAGTGATTGAAAACTTGATGCCTCTGGCATTCTTTGGTTCTAACTCAAAGTTCTTAGCCACAAGGTTTACCAAGCCAGTGTCTCCATGAGCCTTACAAACCCCAATTGAAACGCCCTACACAAAAGGGTGGGTGATCCTTACAAGGTGAATTTTGACAAAATCTAACATATCCACCATAGCTGCATAATGCTTCCCATTTGGCAGAACTCCACATTCTCTCCTCATATACTCATTCACCAACCCTCCATGGCTACAAGCAGCCAAAAATTGCAAAAATCCAACATGATTTGTCTGAAAACTTCATCTATGAGAAAAAATACCAGAAACTCTGCCATTATTGCATGCTGTCCATATCCAGATATAAAGGCAGTCCCAGGGTACAACTTTTCAGTTAAAACACATAATATCCTCACAGGTGTCATTCCTCAATCCTAGTACCATCTCACCAAGCACGCTAACAATGAACACATCCTAGTGCTTCTCTAAGAACCCGACATATATTCGTACAATCAACACCTAAATTAAAACAGACTGTAAAATTCTTCAAAGATCAAGTTTTTAATACTGCTTGACAGCATCCAATTACCACCAACAAAGTAACAATTCAACGGAAAACAAAATGAAAAATTAAATAGCTTAAAAATAAATCGTACAAGCAATTATACGATATGCAAAAATCAAGAATACAAGCAGGATAAATATTATTATCACCTTCCATTCGTGCTCTCAGTCTGAATCCTCCTTAGAAGGGTGGTAGTTTTACCAGCAAACATGGGACCCACAATTACGTGAATTTCACCCACCGGAGCAGCGGGTTCCATAATATTCACGTTTTTATGATTATGCTGTTGATGATGATGAGTAGGGCGGTTTTGCAAGGGGGTTTTACCTGAACAGAAGCAGAAAAAAACCGGAAATTTGTTGTGGGGTTGGGTGCCGATGGTGGGAAAAGATGGGATTTTGATTTTGGAGGGAATGATTTACAGGGATGATGGTCATAGTTGTGTGGGTTTGGAGAAACATGGGTAGCTGAGAACCCTTGAATATTTCATCATCATTCTTGAAATCAATAGCCTAGAATTCATGATTCCTAGGTTTGGAGAATAATTGTGAGCATTTTTGCTGGAGACTCGGGGCTTTTGGGACTTTTGGAGGGAATTTTCCAGGTGGAGAAAGTGCACGGTGTTTTTTTTTTTCTTGGTCTTTTTCATATTGATTAGTGGTAAATGGTACACTCAATGGGTGTAATTTAGAAATAAATTATTTTTTATGTGGACTTATTTTGCATATATTTCTTTATTACTGAACATGACTTTGCTTTTTTAAGATTTTTTTTCCTTTAAGACTATAATTATGTTGTATGTTTATGAGTAGTTATATTGGAAAGATATGTAATTACAATGAAAATAAATTATGGTTAAAGTAAAATTTAGGCCGTGTGACTGTGAGAATAAAAATGAAAGTGATAAAAAAACGTTATATCAAAACTCAATGCTCTCACTTTATATATAGTATAGATTCTATTGAAAACCTAAATAATACTAATAAGTAAGATTTAAAGGAAAATAATAATCTAAACACTTGGGAAAAAAGAAAATCGAAATTTCAACTCTGTGAAATGTGTAGCTATTTTATTTCATCTTAAATTCCTTCTTTTTTTTTTTTTTTTGTTTTGGTTTCCTTCTTTTGTGCGCGTGTGTTTTGATCATGATGCCATTATCTATCAATCTGGCAATAGCAAAATGTATTTGTTGGGAGACCGACTAACTTAAACTAATTTGGAAGGCAAAAGTATTGTCATAGCTAAAATTTTAAGGCTACACGTAAAATAATAAAATTACCGTCTCAAATAAATTTGTGATAATATTTATATAATATGATTCTAAGAAAAGACAATTTTGAAAATTTACCACAAATTCTTCAATTTGATTCAACACTCAAATACTCACAAGTTGTAAACATTCGCCGTCAAAGCGAAATTTTGGGTGCTCTTGTCGATCACGGCCACATACATAAAGAAAAATTCATATGTTTTTACCCGTACTCATGGTGGTGATTCGAGTCATACTCATTTAAATTATTTTATCTATAAAATTAAAGAAGAAAAATGCACAAGGAGTGGGCCTGAAAAAAGAAAAGGTAGAATTCAGGCTTGAGTTTTTTTTTAAAAGGGGTAAATTCAGGCTTGAGTGTGGTTCTCATGGATCCTGATCCGTCATACAATGTTTTGTTCTCTTAGGCCCATTAACTTAAAATTTTTAGATTAGTTCTTCTTGGTACAAGGCTTCACTCCATCTAGAGCTCCTGTATGTCGAGTTATCGACTCTATTTGTGTTCCGGTACATTAGAGAACAAAGAGAGAAAGACAGACCAAAACAAAAGAGGCCCAAGAAAAAAAAAAAAAACGCTTTTAGAGATAATTTTAATGGAGCTGGGTCCAGATGATGCTGCAATTGTATAAAAAGAAAGATAAGATCAGCTCTATCCAGATGAGCCTGTTTTGTTTAAAAGTCGAACATAGAGCCTTATTTTTTTTCTCTCTCTTTTTTTTTTTTTTACTGAATTCTGTTAGCTAAAATGGTTCTATTACCAAAAGTTTTTACTTCAAATCCAAGCTCATGTTTGTAGTGCAGAATTTGCCCAAAGAATATATTGGTTTATAGGATCAGAAGGTGACTTCTAAAGGGTAAAAATTAAGGCATCTTGTACCTCTATTAGGTTCCATTTGCCTTGTCTGTCTCCTTCATGACAACTATTTTTTGGCCTTTTCTTGATTCAATGCAGATTTTTCACTTGGGTAGTTTACTAACGATTAGCAGCAAAGCAGTATTAACCAGGTAATTTGTCCACTTCAATTAGTAATTCTACAGAAGATTGGTCATCATCAAGCAATTTTTCAGCATGATGGTTCACTTATTACGGTTGACTGGACTCAAAAACGAGTAGTAATTAAAGCAGAAATAAACCAGGTAATTTCTCCAATTCCATTACTAATTTCAGAAGATCATCATCCCAAACAAATCTTCATCTAGATTATATGGTATGGTTGATAGGACTCGAATGATTAGCAAAGAAGAACTTAACCACAAAACTTCTCCACTACCATTAATAAGTCTAAAGAAGATAAAGAATCATCCATGCAACAACACAGTTTCATGAAGTGACATGAAATCATACACGAATAGTCCATTATCTTTGATTCTTCGGATAAGTAAATCATTTTCAGAAGGCGTGCTGTAGGTTAGTCGAGATTAATAGTTAGACGTTTCAAGAACTTTGCTTAAACAAAAAGAAAACATTGGACAAGACTCTTGCACCAATTGTGATACGTTTTGGATTATTGATGGGCAGAAGATCCCACAATTCGTATTAATACAAATCGTTACACTATAATGCTTTGGATTATAGCCATGGATACTTTTTTTTTTTTTTTTCTGTTTAGTGAGCGAGCGAGAATAGAATTAAAAAGCGAGAGATTAGAAGTTTGAACCTAGAACCTTAAATTCTTGAGATTTCAAGGCTTATTCGTCCATTAGTCCCAAGGCCTCGTTAGCATACTTGCCCGTTTAAAAGATTAATCAACCTAAAAGTTGATGTCCAACTAGCCCAATTCTCGTGTGACTTCTTTTTTTCTCTTTTCTTGTGAATTATTTTTTGTTTTTAGAGTACATATCAGAATCTGATGAGTCAGATCTTATATATATATATATATATATATATATATATATATACGACCAGAATTAAAATACAAGCATTGATGGAAATGCTTCTCAATGTTGAACCCAGGAAGTTATCTCCTGCATGCATGATAACAGCTGGAAATGGATAGTTGTCAGCAGAGTGGCAAACCTTAAAAAAACAGAAGCCGCTCGCAGATTGGCTGCTGCTTAGAATCAAGTTCTATCCTATACCCATGCATTATCCCCTAGATAACAAATTATGCCCGGTCATTGATAATTTTTTTTTTCATTTTTTATTTACACAAAGAATTTTGGCCATATTACTTCATCGATCACGCGATTAAGAAAATCTAACCTTAAAAAATTAAGTACCTCGTACCTCGTACACATTATCAATTGGTATTAATTAAGTAAATTCTGAAACATTATCTCACGTACTAGAATTTCATCAGATTAATCAATTGGTATTAATTAAGATGGAATCACAATTTCATAGTCAAATATTGGAATCAATTGAAGCATCAAATTATGTGTATACCTGATTCAATTGTTTTGGTTTTGTAATTAAGGCTTAAACCCTTAGCTCGCGGAAGCAAAGTATAATGGATGTCCAAAAGAAATGATTGCAGAGAGAGAATTGTTTGTAATGCAAAATTATTAAACCTGAGAGCAGTTTTTAAAGCTGAGTGGATTGGCCAACGCATCAACATCAGAAGATAAGCCACGTGTAGCTCCGTACAATGATATCAACTCTCCACCTATGGGATTTCGATTTTATCTATGTGGCTATTATTTAACTCTTCAGATTAGGATAAACATCAAGAGCTTAACATTAATTATTAGTATTAGTACTTTGAGCTTTAATAATTGATAGATTCATTAAGAAATTGTTACTTCTAAAGTAAGGGATCCCAGCCAAAAAATATTGAATCAAATGGGCTGGTGTTCTACGTGACTTTGAACTATCTAGCGTCTTTTGCTGATAATAAATCTATATCTATATGTATTCAGGAAGGGATTTTTAGCAGAAACCCTCTCAATGCCTTCTAAACTTGTCATACTTTTTTCTAGATTTTTGTATTTAGTTTAATACATAAAAAAGTAGTGGGTTATAACCCACCTTATCACCAATCAATATTCCCACTATCTCACTCCACTATCCCACTAGCTTAACTCATATTTTTGTATTTATTTTAATACATAAAAAAGTAGTGGGTTATAACCCCCCTTATCACCAATCAATATTCCCACTATCACCTTATCATCAATCAATATTCCCACTATCTCACTCCTACTATCTCACTATCTTAAGTCATCCTACAATTACTCCTACAAATTCTTCTTTTACTGATCGACTTAATTAACTTATCGAGTTAATTCCCTCACCCTCTCTCTCAGTTTCTTATTTATTTTGGGTTCTCTATTGATTTTGTAAATGTATTGATTTTGTTTCTTTTGTGAGCAGTAGTGGAAGATATTATGTGCAGAGACTCCAGCAGAAATCAACCTTCTTGCGGCCGGCTTAATTTTTCAGGTCAGTCCCCTCTGCCTTTTAAGTATGTTTTGCTTTTGCTTTTGCTTTGTTTTTTGTCATGAATGATATTGCATTGATTTTCTGATAATCCATTATTTCTGAAAATTTTTTACAAAATCTTATGAACGGTTGTTTGCTTATTGTTACACTGTAAAGCAAAGATAAAAAGGTATTGCTTGCTTATATAATTGCGGATGGTATAGGTTCATGATTGAGGGTTCTACTATTTCTAACATAAATTGTATATTATAAAAATTTATTTGTTTGTATTACTGAAATTTTTTTAATTATTTTTATTGCACATTTATTACATAAAATAAGTGTTACGATAGTTATTTTCATAATTTTATTCCAAAAATGATCGTGCATGAAATAAAAAAAGATTTTTTGATAATTAAAAAAAATAATTAAAAAGGTTTATAATTGGAGAAAAACAATTCAGATGCTACTAATAACTAAGGCACTATACGCCCATTATTAAAATTGGATTAATTTTTAATTTCGTCAGAAATCCTTTTGGCAAAATTGCATTCTAGCATTTCTTTTCTTTATCAACAATGATAATCACAACTACGTGATTCATCTATCTAGCAACAGCACAATTCAACTCATGGAATAAATAGTTCATTGCTTAAAGTACTTAAACGAAATGTTAGAGCCAAGTCCTACTTAACACCT